GTGGACTCTGAATAGCCAGTTTGACTTGTCTGACATGGGACAGTCTTTGCTTAATGACATCAGTTGATATATTACCTTCAAAGTAAGTGCATGTCCTGGATTGGAAAGATAAAAAGGACATTTCTGTTACATCATATCATTTCGTGATTTGAAAGTGGTGGCCGAGAAATCAAAATGGAGTGTAATATTGAACCAAGATGTGCAGTTAACTATAACCACACCTTGGGAGAGGTAGGCTTTAGTGATTAAAATATAGAATCATCCCTGATTGGAAGGGAAAGGGGATTAAAATAGTACAGATCTTGCATAACAGTACATGTTGCATACATAGTGTACAACTCATCACAGGGGAAGTTTCATAATCTGAAATTCAGATTGCCATAGTTCAGACATAGAGGAAAAAGCTACTTTACTGTTCAGTGCAAGCGTAGACAGGTCCTTCATAAATCCAGTACTACAGAGGTTCTACAGAATGCATTTCATTACAAACTCTTGCCCAGTTAGCAGTATCAAGGTCACCAGAAAATAAACGACACCATTGATTTGTGCCGAGGTTGTGAAGTTGTTCTGTGTCTTGAAAACTGTTTTGAGGCATTTCACCTTAAATTTAACTTATAAATTTGTGAATTCCACATCATAAAATAATTATGTCAGTGTCTCCATTCCAAGTAGCATGAGATTCATAAAAAAGTATACAAAAATACATAACTAACTCACAGTTGACACATCTTCACTGCTGTGGGAACCTTAATCTTGGATAATTCCAAAGTTATTGCAGTTTCTTTGCAGGTCTACAAATGAGCTGAGGTTTGAAGATTTAAATCCCACTATAGGTATAACACAGGTCATTTATATGCCTAGATCGAGGGTTCAAACATGTATGGTGGCCTAATTGTAAGATCAGTGGGCATGGATTACTTTGTGCGTTGAATGGTATACAGTCCGAGCAATATCCACACAGAACGGATGGAAGAAAATGGAAACAGAATGTTAAATTATAGGGGGAAAAAACATAAAAAAATAAATATATAGTGTTGTTTAGCATGATGATGGACTTTGATATGCATAGTTCTGGTTTATTACTTGAAGATTGAAACATGTTGAATTGACATGAGTCACTTCATTTTCAGATTAACTGCAGGTGATGGAAATATCCTGTTTCATTATGTACATCTAGACATCACTGAAGGAATCTTATTGTGTCCTCCTATTAATCACAAATGGGAAACTAAAAATATTTACTTTTATAAACTGCGATTTACATAAGTAGTTTTTCTTAAATAATTGGCTGCGGTGAGTCTTGTGTGTCCAACACATGATACAGTGGCATAGCTCTGGATCACCCAGGGATCAAGGGCTTTAACTGAGTAGGAACCTTTGGGCTGTATTACCTGATGGCAGAAACAGATCCAGTTTCTGAAATGTAGTTATAAATCTTAAGATGACAGACAATGCCCAAAACAAATTTTGTCATCAAAAATGTTTAGGTTGTTTTGTTAATGTAGTTTTTTTTAAAATTCATATGTTCGGAAATGAAGTAAATCTGTACGTTATTTAAATAGTATGGAAAGCCTTAATGACCCCTGTGTACTGCTTTGTGGAGTCGTAAATTTGACATTGAATGGAAGTTCTTAGGACCATTTTGTAAATAATTTGTTAATGACTGCTTTCATATATGTGAAGGGTAGCATAGTGAGAGTCATGCTGTAGGCATTGTGTATACCCTGACCAACTCCATGGAACAGTCTTCTTTGAGAAGCTGATGGCACTTAGGAGATCCAGAAATTCCTGACCTGAAAGTTTATTACTAGAGCCTGCCACTGGATTCTGTCCTGAGACAGTTCAATTCAACACATAGTCAAAAACCCTAGTTCTTTATGATCCATTTTATTATTATCAACCCTTTTATGCCTCATCTCATGATAACATGAAGTAAGAATTATACAATAAGGAATTATTTTCTTGTTCCAGACAACTCTTCTTTACCCCTCATCCAAGGGAGGTTTATGTGTGTTACCATGACTCTGCCCCACAAAATATCATTGAAATTGCATTTAGACTTGGTCTCAGCGCTTCAGGCTAAGGAAAGAAGTGCCATAGGAAATGGAATTTTGAATTGCAGAACTGTAAGGTATGTGAAAAGAAATGTTTGAGAAAACACAATCCATTTGCGAGATAAAGATTCTGACGGTGACGAATATGAATATGGCTGTACCCTGGAGGTAGTAGGCACCTCTGAAATGTCAGTATCTACCAGACTATACAGCACATCCCAGATGACAGACATTTGAGAATGAAGTTCAATGTGTAACTTTGACTTTTGGGCACAACCTGCCTCAGTTGTTAAAGATCTTCCAGCTTTTTGGCAAGCACTTTCCACCTTCAGAGTGATTGTATGTGGATGTTATTACTGATTGTAGGAAATTAAGGTGTAAGGCTGTGATGGCATCCAGTGACTGATCATATAAAGTTTTATAAAAGAATTTTAAACCTATTCAGAAGTTGATGGTGATCTCATATCTGTAATTTTCCTTATAAAGGAATTGACATTCTAGTTCAGTTGAAAATTGTTCTATAAATGACGTTCCATATAGGGATAAATACTCTTAATTTCTTGGCTAATTGATTTGGACAAATTAAATGTTTCTACTGGATTAGAAACATTTTATTTCTTGGTTTCACACTGCTTTTTCCAATCTTCATAAACTTGGTACATTTTCTCTGCTGGTTTAGTGTCATCTATATGTGCTGTAGGTTCCTTATTTTAATTGCATCTTTACCTTGGAGCATGATAACTAATGTATAAGAGGTTATCATAATGTTACTGGAAGTTTTAAAAATATCAGTGATCTCATCATTTATGGTCTGATATATCTGCTGTCCTGTCTCACAGACAAGTTTTGCAAAATATCTGCCATACCCCTGACAGCTTTATAGTATGGCGTGGTACTTATAGCCGGTGTTAAACATTTATTATGGTATTTGTATTTATTTATTTCAGGAATACCACAGCAAAATATGCTTAGAAACTAAATAGAAGTATTACAGATTAATTGTACAATCGAAATCAAACGAAACATAATAGAAGGCTGCCAATACTTTGCAAGTGGAAGACAATGACCAGAAAGCATCTTGAAAGAAACTGCTTTTATGATAAAGTAAGTGGTTATACAGTATACCATAATTTTGAGACACGGTTAAGAAGAATTTTTTGTGATGAAGAAAACATAGTGATTGATATCTGCAAGGGAAAGTTGAAAAGTAAAGGCATATGAAATGTTTCTCAAAGCAATTGGTACAGCAACATATCTTGTAACCCACAGGTTAGAAGCTTCTTATAAGGTGGCGACTGACTTGTAACATTTGCCTGTAATGTAACGTGTTGCAAATCGAGCATTACACAAGTGAAGACAGCGAACGGAGCCGCTCGATGCGAGCCGCTCACGCTCGCGGGCACTCCATCGTGTTGTCGGTTTTTTTGCTACGTTACAAGTCAGTCAGTCAGTCGAGCGGCGTCGTAACGAGCATTCACGAGTTCTTTAGATAAGAGTAGCGTATTAAATGAAACAAAGATAACACAACCTCCACGTCCGACATATTGAATGAAATGAATGGAGCACACATGAGCACAGTCGAGCCGAGCGTTCAAAACGAGCATTCGATGTGCCTCACCAGTTGTGGTGTAATGTAACATGCTCGCCGCGAATGTTACATTACGAGTAAATGTTACAAGTCAGTCGCCACCTATAGGCATAATAAAGCAGGGGAAGAGATATACTGTACAACCTACAAGAAACAAAAGCCTAAAAACTTTGCACTGGGATTATTAAAGAACTCCCTTTAGCTACCTTTATGTGAAGTAAATCTTAGATTTGTTCTGTTATTTGTCAGTATATTTCCATTAAACAACAGTACATCAAAATGCCAGTTATTTGTACACAGACTGTTACATTTTATATCTTAATTGTGTCATGTTTGTGTTTTATTGATACAATGTTTTATTTTCCGTCTATACACAAACTTAAAATAATGTTGTTTAAAATTACTTAAAATTATAACATTTTCAGTAGATACTGCATCTTGTTACATTTTTTGTATCGACGACATGTTTCAATGTGTATCACATCATCATCAGGTCCACCAATTTTAATACATTTTAAAAACTGTTGTACATTTTGCGTTGCGTTTATTGATTATTTTGATTTGTTTAATTTTTAAGTTTTTTGTCTCTTCCTTTAAATTTTGGAGGTTGTACTTGGATGTTTTATATCTGTAAAATTAATTTTCAAATCGTGATTTTGGATATTGACTGTTACATACTTTAATCTATATTCTGTTGCTGAAATTGAAGGTGTGTAATGTGTATGATGTATTCTTCCAACAAATAATCTCCAGTATGATCCGTCGGTGATTGCTATCTTGAATTTGACATGAACCACCGCTTAACTTTAAATATCTTAACACGCAAGGCACAGATCACCAGTCCAATATTTTTCCTGTACCATTCCACATTGTATCGAATGTGGACTTTGCAGTTCTTGTCTAGAAAAGTTTTATAGAATATGGACATTTCATCAGCAGTTAAAATTTGTTTATCTGTTCCTGAAGTTTTGTCTGATGGAAGGTTGGCATCAATGAATTCATTTCGCTCCTGTCAAACAGAGACATTACCTTGGTTGGTTGAAGACTGTTTTGATCAACTAAAGGAAAGACAACATTTTAATGGCATAAACCATTTCATAACAAAATTATGGAGATTAAGTTAATAGTCACCATACCAACATTAATGATCCACAAAGTATGACTGTTCTTCCTAAAGCACATATATGTTACATGAAGCCAGTTTTACATAATAAAGGAAATGAAATTGCATGTCTGTTCAAGCAACCTACTTGAAACAATATAGCGAATCTGTCACTGATGCATGGTGCATCTTTGTGTCTCTCTTTCCACCCATCCAGCCTACAATTCAATTGCAGATACCACATAATAAATTCTTTGAAGAATTTGGTATTAATGTTTATGGAGTTTAGTGGTGAAGTAGGAGAGGCATTAGACATACCTACTTTTTCATAGGACTGGCACTTCTGTGTACAATATGGAACATACTGTAGATAATATAGAATGAAATCAGTGACTGCCAACTCATAACACTTTGATTATATTTTAACCTTTTCACTGCCCTATTTTTAAGCAAGTCTCTCCCAATATTTTTTCCTGAAAATAAATTAGCATTAATGGTATTGCACATGTTTCATTAGTGGAATTCTTTTTATTTTACAGGTAGAAAGTCCACTATCTTTTAAAGTTGCATTCTTCGAATCTAGCACTAGAATACAACCACTTATAAGACATAAAATGGGGTTGCTGTAAAGTAAAAAATGAACATAATAAAAGCAAATATTTGGATTTGTGATTGTAGGCACGAACACATAACAAAGTAATTCATTTGTAGATGAAAGGACTAAT